CCTGCTGAAGGATATCAGTGTTGACTTTGACTTGCTGTGTAGTTTTTAATACAGTAGATCAGGTCAGAGACTTGTTTTAACTGGTGCCTTTCTGTCAGCATGAGCTAAAGCAACCTATGAAAATAGCTGGGAAGGGGAGAACATAAATCTGAGACTGTAAAGATAGGAATGCTGGGGAAAACAATGCCGAGGACAGATTGCAAGCTGCAGTATTCCATGGAGAATGTAAAAAGGTGTGACTTCCAGATATATCCGTTTTCACTTCAGAGAGACCCAGCAGCGATGGTGTAACACTTGTCAGATACACTTCACAGGGGATCTAATCAAACATCGCAGGACCCAAGAACACAAGGTAACAACCATAGCGTGGACTTCATCTTTGCACTGACCTTTTGTCAGGATTGAGTGGAAGTGCTTAGCATCTCCTGCTCCCCAAGCAGCAAAGGAAAAGTGACTGGAGTGGAGAGATGCACAGAACGTTCTGCCAGTAACATCCTCACTGATCAAGGGCACTGCCATGCTACCTACTGCCTCTGAACACTGGCACTGTTCAGTTGTCATGCTGTGTTGGTATGGTCTGAAGCACTCCTAGTTTATAATTCTTGACTTTTCTCAATAAATATGAGCTATCATACTCACCTAATCAATTGAGTGGAGGGATTGGTGGGCAACCTGTACATTTTCAAACTAAAATTTAGGTGGGCCATCATACTTGCTGTGTCCTAGGGGAGAAGTGCCAGAACACCTTTTATAAGCCACGTTTGTTTTGTCTGCATGTTTTCCACCTTTTTGGCAGATAAGAGCCAGGGAATCCTTTCTGCTGAAAAGACAACTTTTTTTGTGGTCTCCCGGTTTTAGATGCAGGGCTATGACACTGTTTAACTCAAGATTTATCTGCATTCCTCCAAAGTGGTGCCTCTTGTGACTTACTGAATTGTCCCTCTTTCCTTAGCTGGCCAAACGCTCACTTCGTCCTTTCTGCACTGTCTGCAGCCGCCACTTCAAGACCCCTCGCAAGTTTGTGGAGCATATGAAGTCCCCTGAGCACAAACAGAAAGCCAAAGAGGTAATATTGCCTGAGTGGAGGCAGGACTGGAGGCAGCTACGGTGTGGAGCAGATTAACTTCTGCTTCCCTGACTATTGCAGGGATGAAAGACAGACATGCAGTTCTTCCAACCTTGTTTTAATTTTCATCTTTTGCTGGACTTCAATTGTTAACAGCTTAAAGAAATTGAGTGAAAAAGGGACAAGGAGTTAGATGTGTCTAGCAGCGAGATAGCTTTGTGCCTCTCTTGCAGTTCCTTCTACTCATCAAATGCAGTCAGTTCAGAGTCTGGGGTCTGCCTTGATTAGACAGAGAGTGCAAAGTTGATCTGATGTTTGTTTTATGTACCTGACAGGTGAGGCTAGGAGAGAAGGAGTTGGGCAGCCCAGAAGATTCGGAGGAGTTGATCACAGTGGATGCTGTTGGCTGTTTTGAAGATGATGATGATGAGGAGGAGGAGGAGGAGGGGGGAGCTGGTGAGGAGGAAGACCTTGATGTAGTGCTGATAGAGAATGAGGATTCTGCTGCCAAGCAGGTATGCCATGCAAAACGAGGAGGAATGACCTATCTGAGAATCTGCTGTGGGCTCCTGTGACTTAGTTGGTCTTGACTGGTTGAGCTCAGGGTTTCAAGAGTCCAGTCAACCTTGCACCCTGCAGCAGGAGGGTGAGGGCTCTGGGGTTCTTCCAGAGCACAGGACGATGCAGAAAAGAATCTGGCACTACGAGTGGGATGCAGGAGGATGTTTCTGCTGTGCTGTACTGCTCCTACTGGTGCCTTCAAACATTAACTCGTTGTTGAGGAGCATAAGCAATGTTTTTCCAAGGGAAAGGATTTTTGACAAAGACATTGACATAGTCTCTTTAAATAGCCCAGTGGTAGCTTGGTCTCATAGCAAACATATATGCGGAGGTTTATCTTGATAAATATCATTTTCCCAGTAGAGAGCGGTTACCAAGAAGGAGGTACATGGCTAAGCTACTTCAGGCTTGGAGTGCAAAGGGTGTTTTTAACCCTTGTAATGAAGTGACCTCCTGACACTGGGGTTTGTATCTGCCCCTAACCAGGTGCTGTGCAACTCCATCTCTGGTATGTGAATCTCTATTTTGCTCCCAAGCTTACCAGAAAAGTGTAAGAGCCCGGGAAGTGAATTGCCATAGATACAGTAGGCACTAATGTTCTTTTGGTTTCCAGACTGGGCTGAAGGAAGTGTCTTTGGAGGATTACGAAGGAAGCGAGAAGTATTGTCCAGACACAGCCTATGGTAAGCAAGCAGAGTTAAGCACAAAGGCCCACAGAGCCTTCTCTGGCCACGTGCTGTATCTGTAAGAGAGGATGGTCTCTATCTACTGCTGTAATGAGTTCTTGGGCTGTAGTGCTCAGCATCTGCATCAGACTGGTGCAGGTCACTGCTGCCTGGAGAAAGAGCCAAATGTTGCTTTGTTACTGTGTGATAAAACATAAGGATGTGATTGATGTTTGTCAGCTGCCTTTTGCTTTGAAGAAGAAAGAATGAGAGCCAGATACCTTACTAAGGTAGGAAATGAAACAAGTAGGGCAGGAGTACTGAAGAAAGTAGGTAGCGAATGAGGGATGCTCTGGAAAGATGGAACCTGAAAGCATCTTGATTAGAATGCTTTCCAACAGAAATGCAGCTTGTATAGAGATACTGAGCAGTACTGACAGTATCGAGCTCTCTGCCAGAGCCCAAACCGTGCATGTTTCCTCCGCTTCAGAACCCCCACGCTCTACCTAGCGGTTATTCAGACATGTGGCTGGACTGGTGGGCAGCGTTGCCTCCAGATGGCTGTCTCTGGTCCCCACCCTGTAAGTGATTCTGACTTCAAACCTCTAACGACCACTTGTATTGAGAGGAGGGCAGCTCTGCAGAGGCTGTTTTGTGCCCAAGGAGAGCTCTGTTTACACCAATCTTCCATATCGCTGTAACCTTCCACTATCGTGTGGCAGATGGAATAATGACTCATGCTGTGAATGTTCTCTGCGTGTTCCTCTTGCGCGCCTGCTGTCTTCTGCTTGGTTTGATCCCATTACATTAGATCATATGTTCTCTGTAGTTTTCCATTGTATTCTTTTTTCCTTTTTCCCCCCCTTAATGCTCTGTGTAGTTTCTTTGCTCTGGCAGCCAGATTTCTCTCTGAATATCAACCACACAGCCATTCCATGGTAAGATGAGATATTCAGCAAGTCATCTTGCAAATCCCTGATTAACAGAAGCAAAGCTTTCCACTTTTCTTTTTCTCCTTCCCCTTCCCTTTTAACATGCTTTCATTATTTGAGTTCCATTCAATGTGATCTGTGATTTCCCTTCCCCTCCCGTTTCGCAGGCCTGGATTTTCTGGTCCCCGTCGCAGGTTACCTCTGCAGGCTGTGTCACAAATTCTACCATAGCGACTCTGCTGCCCGGCTCGCACACTGCAAGTCCCTGATGCATTTTGAGAACTTTCAGGTTAGACCCTTTGGCGATTGCATGGCCTGGCATTTGTTACCCCCGTGCGTGTCTCTTTAGCGAATCTACCACGTTAGCTGTCTTGTCTTCAGTTCGTTTCCATCATCCTTGGTGTCCATTGTGCCATAGCTTTCTCCTGGTGTGCTCTGTGTTTGTCTCCCATCACCCCTGTAGATCTAAAACCAGTCCAGTCCTGCTTCCCAGCTACTGCTGCTGTCATCTTGTTGCCCATTTCTGGCTGGAAATCTTCCTCAGAGTGTCTGCTCTGTTTGCTGAACCTGTGGAGTCTGTCATTCAGCCTAGGCCTCTTCTCTGTTAGACAGATTACAGGTGGGTCAAGATGGGGAAAGAACAAGAGAAGGAGGCTGTTCCTTTTAAAGAAAGCTGGTACACACCCACCTTTTCATGCGATACTGCAGGAACAGCTCTGTTAGCCAAAATTGTAGGTGTGATTCATCCATGAAGGGGCCTGGTAAAATCAGGTATTCGCCTTAGAAATCTGGAAATTTAATGTTACAGACTCTTTATGTGATGGAAGCTGCAAGCTGGTGAGAGTCCGTTTGGTCCCCAGGGTCAGCCTGCAACAGGAATTCAGTCTGTCTGTCTGTCTGCTACCCTTTCCTAGAAACTCCTTAGCACAAAGCTCTGCCAGTTGATGCTGTTCCTTTGCTTTACTGCCTCCACCTCAAGAAGCCGTATTACCCCTTGCTGCTTTTGTATCTAGAAGCTTTTCCTACTGGGCTGGCCTGGAATCTGCCTCCATCGTTCTGTCCTTGTTGACTTGCCAGGGGGTGAGGGGCCTGGATTAGTAGCTCATGGTGGGTACGCAGGGCTTGCACTCTCTCTGCCCTCTCCCATGACCACTGCCTGGGCCCTGCCTGTGCCGGAGAGTGGTATTCCCTGACCCTGGCAAGGAGGGAGGCTCCCACACTGACTTTGTCCTCTGCCTGCACCCAAAACCTGCTCCAGCAAAAGCTGTTGTGCTTCCCTACCAAGATGTATCCAGCTTTTGTTAGTGTTTTTTAAAGTATATATATATTGGTATTTTTCTGCTAGTCTTTGGACAGGTTAACTATTCCTAGTCAACCGTCACTGCCTCCAGAAAGGGGTGGGGTGCTGCAGAAGCCAGCACTTAGAGCAGTGGATTTGAAGTGGCAAGTAGCAGGAGAAGACCACAGCTGTTCCTTCATGGTTGCTCATCCTCTCCCACTCCTGCAGCTAGTCATTTCAGGAATGAAGGAATCGGCCTTGCAGTTTTCCTGGCTTATTTTAGATCAGCTTAGAGTGAAACTGCAGCAGCAGTGTGTATGCCTCCCTTTTGTCCCACTTAGAGCTGAAATCAG